GGATTGGGTTTGCTTATATCATATTGATTCTTGCTTTTTTTGTATTGACAGCAAAATTTTTAGTGTTGAATGCTGAGTTCTTGAAATTTCCATAGAAAATGACCCTGTTTTTTTGGGAGTTTTTCTATAGAATAGAATTTCCATTGCTAGAGAAATCACAGGATATTTCATCAAATCAGTCATGTTTTTCTATTAGGTATTTGCTTTCTTTTTGTTTTCGTATACTTCAACTAATTCTCTGCAGCTTTTCTCATTTGCTTTCAGGAAATATCCATGAAATAATAGCAATGGAAGACGGCTCGTTTTTCTTTGACGCTCTTTTACCCGGATACGATGATACACTAAATTGTACATATTTCGAAGCGCCAGAGGTATGTTTACTATCTTTATTTTCATAATATCCACTGAAATCAATGCTTGAGGATCTTCCATTGGCTGGACATGATTGCTCCCTGAAAGAAGTTGGTTGTCCCAGTAGCTACTTCTGTTATACGATCCCTCTTGAACCTTTGAAGAAGTTGTAAGATCTTTCACAATATTATATTTTGCTTGAATATTTGTACTTCAGCTTTGATAACATGCGTGCTAATCTTTGTTGTATAGCTTGGGTTTTACATGTGTTTGATGGGCACTTTGTGATTAGTTATACTACCGGTCTTGATGAGATTTTTTAGATTTATTTGTTTTTTGTCAATAAATATTTTTTGAGTTGTGAGTGTTTGCTCGTAAGGATATATGACCTGATTCGGGAGAAGAAAACCTGTGTTACATGAATGTTTCTTTCAAAGCGTGATGACAACTTTGGATCCTGGTTGGCATATAAACGATAGCTTGTTACCGGATCTTTTCGATGGCAACCCTGTTCCGACTGATAAAAAGAAGCTGGAGAAAAAGCTGTGTGACGTATGTTTTTCCACCTGTATTAATATACAGATGCTGATTTTTCATTTTTTTATTCATGCGGTATGTCATATTTTTGATCTTTCAGATAGACATCCGTGAATTTGCTCTTCCATGTCTCTCTAGCTGTGCTACTAAAGAATGGCTTAACGGTCCTGTTGTTCTGCAGCTTACTAGG